TCAAGTCCCTTATAATGACCCTCTAGTCTTAACTATGATGGTAGCCAACTACCAGGTTAAGAGAATTCTAGTGGACAGTGGCCGCTCCTATCCTATTTGCACTAGCCTATGACAGCCTCCACCTCAGGCAGGGAGGATTATAACCTATCAGGACACCCCTCGTTGGATTCTTAGGGTAGAGGTTTTATCCCTTGGGTTCCATCACCTTGCCAGTCAAAGCAGAGACAGCACCAAAAAGCTCCACCATCATGGTGAACTTTATAGTACTAGACTATCCCTCTGCCTACAAAATCATTCTTCGACGCCCTGTACTTAACACCTTGAGGTGGCCACCCACTGAATCAAAGTGAACCCCAGGCACAAGCCCGTCCGACAAAAGTTGAGAAGCATAAGCACCAAAAGAGGTCAGAACATGGAAAAGGAAGTGAAAAAGTTGTTGGCTAATGGATCATTAAGGGAGGTAGCCTACCCATTTGTCAATCAAATGTAGTGATGGTAACGAAAGCCAATGGGAAGTGGCACCTCTGCATGGACTTCATGGAGTTCAACAAAGGCTATCCCAAAGGCAGCTATCCCCTACCACGCATCGACATCCTTATTAATGCTATTGTGGGACATGAGCTTCTTAGTTTTCTAGATGCTTATTTTGGGTATAACTAGATTAGCATGTTTCCCCCAGATTAGGGAAAAACCTCCTTCATCATCCCAAAAAGAACCTATTGCTATAGAGTTATACCTTTCAGACTAAAAAATACTAGAGCTACATATCAACGCCTCATGAACAAAATATTCAAGGCACAGATCAGGAAGACCATGGAGGTCTATGTGGACAATATGTTGGTAAAAGGCACGGCTACAGTAGACCACGTAACACACCTGTAGGAGACATTTGACATCCTGAGAACCAACAAGATGTAGCTAAATTCTAAAAAGTGTGCCTTCGGTATGAGCTTAGGAAAATTCTTAGATTTCACGGTCAACAAAAGAGGAATAGAGGCCAATCCATAAAATATCAGAGCTATCTTGGTGATGAGGTCCCTAGTATCTATGAAGGTGGTCTAGTGCATTAATGAAAGGATAGCAACCCTCAACAGGTTTGTCTCAAAATCAACAGACAAAGGTTTACCATTCTTTAAAATCCTTCCAGTGGAGACCAGAAGTAGAAAAGGCCTTCCAAAAGTTAAAGGCTTATCTTGTAACACCCCCTTACTCTCCCATGCCATACTAAGAGTGACCCTATACATCTACCTCTCATCCTCGTCCTCAACTGTGAGCTCCGTCCTAGTCATGAAGGATGGAGAAGTCCAAAAGTTAGTATACTATGCAAGCAGGGCGTACCGAGGAGCGAAAGTAAGATACTCAGAGTTAGAGAAGTTAACCCTCACACTTGTCACTGCCGCTAGGAGCCTACGCCATTACTTTCAAAGCCACACCATCGTGGTTGTTAAATCAACCACTTAAGGGAATCTTGAAAAATTCAGATGTGTTTGGCCAACTCCTTAAATGGTTCATCGAATTAAGCGAGTTTGACGTGCAGTACTAGCCAAGGGTGGCCATAAAAGCACAAGCGATTGTGGATTTTGCGGCTGAATCCACACCACTAAAAGAATCGCAAGAAGAAACACCATGCACCTTTGTGCTCACCTGCCTAATACACAATGCCTCAAGTCACCATGAGACAAGCCCAAACATCATCCCCAGAGAGCCTGGCGCCTTGGAGATGGCCCCCCAGGCCTCAAGGGTCAAGACTTCTAGGCCAGAGGTGCCCAGTTTCCTTTTGCCTACTCCTCCAAAGTCCTTAGTGCCACAGCTTGCCATGCGCCTACCTAAGTTCCTTACCACGCCTAAGCAGGCATCCCCCACTAACATGATACCATGTTGGAGATTGTATGTTGATGGATCCTCTACTAGCGAGAGTGACAACGTAGGACTAGAGTTGATCAGCCCCCATGACACTCCACTCAAGTACGTTGTCTCCTACCATTTCGCAGCATCAAAGAACCGAGCAGAATATGAGGCCCTGCTTTTAGGCTTGAAGCTCGCAATTGAGATGGAAGTCCTCTACCTAACGGCTTATAGCGATTCCAAATTGATAGTCAACCAGGTAAAATGAGACTTTGAAGCGAAGGAAAAGATGCAAGAATATCTATCAATGTAAAAAGCTTTGTTGAAAAAGTTTAACCACTTCCAAATCTACTATGTACCTACGGAGGAGAATGTCATGACAGATACTCTCACCAAATTTGCGTTTACAAATATACCCATGGGCCCAGCACTGACAAACCATTAGTTTGAGGCAAGCAAGCTTAATGCAGAGAAGGACAATGTTAACTATGCATCCTTTGAAGTCAGTTGGATGATGTTATTCGAGCCTACCTAGATGAAGGCGCTCTCCCAAAAAATCCAGTGGAAGCCAAGAAGTTGAGAATGGGAACATCTAGGTATGTCATCCTACGTAACACTCTTTACAAGAAAATTTACTCATTACCACTACTTCGCTGCCTTACCCTTGAGGAAGCCGATTATGCTATGAGGCAAATCCATGAAGGAATATATGGAATCACTTAGTAGGGTGGGCACTATCTCACCATGCAGTAAGGCAAGGCTACTACTGACCTAGCATGATCAATGGTACCCGTGAGTTCACAAGGAAATGTAACAAGTGTCAACATTTTCCTACAGTATCAAGACAACCACCAGCAAAGCTCACCACCATCCTGAGCCCTTGGCCCTTCTCCATGTGGGGGATCGATATCTTAGATGCCCTACCCATAAGTCAGGGTCAATGCAAATTTATGGTAGTAGCCATTGACTACTTGACAAAGTGGGCAGAAGCTGAGTCCTTAACTAGAATAATGGACCAGATAGTGAAGGACTTCATCTGGAGGAGCATACTATGTCGTTTCAGAATACCTCATGCAATAGTAAGTGATAATGCTAAACAGTTTGACAACAAACTCCTTAATAGCTTCTGTGCTGACCTACAGATCAAGCAACCCTACTCCACCTCTGCCTATAAACAAGTGAATGAGCAAGCGAAGATCACTATCTAAACAATCCTCCGCAACCTAAAGACCAGATTGGAAAGCACCAAGGGGTAAGCTTATCGGACAAAACTCCTTAAGGGTGGACGAGCTCCCAAGAGTACTATGAGCTTATCAAATAACTACTATAAGTCCTACTAGAGAGACCCCATTCTCCTTAGCCTATTGGACAGAGACGGTCATACTAGTCAAAATTGGAGTACACTCTCTCAAGGTACAACACCGTAACCCTACCACTAATGAAGAAGGTCTCTACATCACCTCTAATTGGTAGAGGAGGAGAGGGAGATGGCCATACTCAGTAATGCAGAGTACAAGTGTCGTATGACTAAGTACTACACTCGCTCATTCTTGCTTGGCGACCTAGTCCTCAAAAAGATCATCTAGTCTACTAAGGACTCTCAGGAGGGGAAGTTAGGCCATAACTAGAAGGGACCCTACATGATTACAGAAGTTTTAAGACAGGGCACCTACAAAATTCAAAACCCAGGGGGGAAAGCCCTGGCCCATCCATAGAATCTGGAACACCTGAAGAGGTATTACCAATAGTGGGGTGCAAGTCAGTGAGCGTACAAGTAAGTACTATCATTTAAATTATCTTTTGTTGTTTTAGTTAGTTCTTTTTGTTAACTACTTCAAATTATGAAACAAAACTTTGCAAGATGAGCCTCATTCCCCATCTCCATCTCAATGGAATGAGCTTTTGCCCTGGTAGCTCTCTCATAAGCTACTCACAGGTCAACCTCTACCATAGCAGCCCTCTCCCAAGCGGTTCAAAGCTCAGCCTCAACTCTAGCGGCCCTCTTGCGAGTCGTTCGCAGCTCTATCTCTACTCTCACGCAGTCAGCCTCTCTACTAGCCTCCAACTAGGTGGCCCTCTGATAGGATGCCAGAAGCTCAGCCTTAAGAGGTTGAACTTTCTCGTAGACTAGCCTTCACTGCTCCTCAGTAGCCTGTCGTGTCTACCTCTAAAGCCTCAACTGCTCCTCAATAGCCCCTCGTGCCTGCCTATCTTTTGCCAGATCCGTGGATGCCTCTCCAAGCTTGATCTTCCTTGAAAAAAGCAAGGAAAAGTGGAAGCCACCTAAGACAAAGAATCTATAGTATTACAATTATTTAAGCTTATTGTAATGGTCAAATATCTTTCCTCTTTTGCCTAGGGGAGACTCTAGGATAACCTGTCGCGAACATGAGGGCTATAAACTCTTTGAAAGGATGATCCTGCATGACCTGGAGCCTACTCTCATGCTCTACACATAATGTGGATGGAGCTGCAAAGGAACCAAACATACAGTAAATACATGGACATAACTGTCAATGTAAAAGCAAAGGTAAAACCCATACTTAGCTTGGTCCTCAAAGTAATGCCCCACCTCGAAGGCACTAAGTCACAATCTTCCTCAACGGCCCACTCACCTCTGACAAAGAAGAACCTAAATTTCCCACTATGGCAATTCAAAGGCAGTCTAGTAATAAACTTACTTGACATTAGAGCAAAATGGTACCACTCTTGATGAGGAGTAGGATTATCTAGAAGCACATACGAAGCCAAGAACTCCTCAAAAAGGGGAGGAACATCAACACTATGGACCAACCACCATAATGAGAAGAATGTCATAATCACCCTCTAACCATTAGGAGTCAACCTCCTTAGAGCCGTGATAAGTGACCCAGAATTTGAAAAATGAACCCCAGTATGGGAAACCTCAATCCCTCCTCTAGGATGTCCTCATAAAAAATAATCTCTCTTGAGAAGTTATAGCATGCCGACTCATCCCCCTCGACCTAGCAACACATAATAGCAGGAGGAATATAAAAGGGCGATACAATGCAAGCAATGTCATCATTGCAGTTAATTAAACTGAAGATAGAGGATACCTTTGACCCATCGCCTTCAATAACTCATTTGCCTCGGTGCAAAGCCTATGTAATATCTATCATACTGCCCTTACCAGTTCAGGCACCTAACAAGGCAAAAGCCAATAATAGGTCATGGAGCTTCGGGATTAACAAAAATTCATGAACAAGGATAGGAGGTCCCGGACGTGGACCTCCTATCCTAGCGCTCAGCCTACCCCGATGACTAGAGCCCAACTCGTCACTAGGGTCACCTATACTACTGAAGCCACCTAGCACACCATTGGTGATGCCCAACTCATCACTAACACTGCCACCTCTTTCCCCAACTTTAGTGTCGCCACCCATGCCCAAAGTTTCACCCTTTCTTGTGCCCATGTCCTTCCCAACGTCGCCACGTCTAGCTCTAGCATCTCCCATGCTCCAACCACTTTTGACATCGCCTGCCCACTAGAACTATTCAACGCGAGCTAAATTATCGCCCAGTGACTAGGTTCTTACAATGGTGTTACCCATTCCATCGACGCCCACATAGTCAGCACTGCCCGTGTCGCTGGCGCCATCGAGTCCTCTTATGTGGGTGTCGCCCTGGCCACAACCCAAAGTTTTTCCTACGAGGGCATCACTAGCAAGCCTATCTATTCCTTAGGCATTGCCTATCCTATCCTTCCTAGGTTCATCGTCTCCCACGCTCTGCCTAACATCACTATCATCTTGGGCACCATCTCTGTCTGTGCCTATGAACTTAGCTGCCTAGACAAGGGTGTTTCCACCTTCCTCGGCGTTGCCCAAAGGATCTACGCCTTGAATGGCGCAGCTGTCTCCCTTGGTGCCATGTTGGAACTTGTTTCGCCGATCATCACCATCGATCCCTCTGACGTCATCGCTTGTTGTATCACCTCTTCTAAGGCATGGAGTCACACCATCCACATCTTCCTTCATCGACCCTCACCTGGTTTCAATGGTTTAGCAAGCCAATCCCTATCTTTGATCTTTGAAAATAAGGAGATGAGAGGTGTTTAACCCAATCCAAGGATAATGAAAAAATGGGTGAATGGTTGATTCATTGGTCTATATATAAGTCTTTCAAACCCTAGGGAGATCCCTAAAGGAAGGAAGAGAGTTTTATGTGAAGTCCCCATAATCTGAATAAGACATAGTGAGTGTCCAGTAATGGAAAAAAAGAAAAGTGAGCTCCCGAGATGTAGGAATCTGAGGAGGTTACCACTACGGAGAACAAGAAAAATTTTGCCTGTCCAGGTGAAGGGCTCACTCATGTCCTCAACCCCACTTTGTCACAATTGGGTTTAGGGCATGGAAGACAAATGATGAGTCCAGATCCAACTGGGTCCAGGTCTAATTAATGAGGTAGGCCCAAATCATCTAAAAGGCAAGTCAAGTCCAACTCGTGGTCTTAGCCTAGTTCAAGATTTCAGGGAACCAAGAAGTCAGTGCACGTGGGGAGCAATCATCGGGATTGTCACTCTCAAAGATTAAGACTATCTCTAAATGTACCTATCCGTAGTTGTAGTTATCCTCTCTAAAAAGCTAATAACCTACCCTTCATAGACACCACCTCAACTAAGGTTATGTGCCTATAAATTGTAATCTCTCTACAAATAAGAGACAAGCCTCATGTGTCTATATATATAAATCCGTCAAAACCTAGGGGAGATCCCTAAAGGAAGGAAGGGGGTTTTATGTGAAGTCCCCCATAATTTGAAGGAGACATGGTGAGTGTCCAACAATGGACAAAAGAAAAGTGAGCTCCCAAGATGTAGGAATCTGATGAGGCTACCACCGAGTAAAGCAAGAAAACTTTGCCTCTCCAGGTGAAGGACTCACTCACACCCTTAACCCCCTTTTGTCACAATTGGGGTTTAGAACATGGAGGGCAAATGATGAGCTTAGATCCAACTAGGTCCAAGTCTAATTAATAAGGTAGGCCCAAATTAGTTGAAAGGCAAGTCAAGCCCAACTTGTGGCCTTAGCCCAGTTCAAGATTCAAGGGACGTAAGAAGTCAATGCATGTGGGGAGTAGTCATCGGGATAGTCACTCTCAAAGATCAAGACTATCTCTAATTGTACATATTCATAGTTGTAGTTATCCTCCCTAAAAAGCTAATAACCTACCCTTCATAACCACCACCTCAGCTAAGGTTTTGTGTCTATAAATTATAATCCCTCTACATGTGAGGGACAAACCTTTTGATATCTACATCTCTCACACACAAATATCTCTTTCATAGCTAGCTCATCCCACCTAAAGCTTACTCTTACTCTCTCTCTCTCACCTATTACTTTATTAATAATGTTTTTTAGCCACCGTTGTCGTCTTCAATGGTTAGGTCACCTCAGCCCAAACACCCATTCTTTGTCTTTTGCTTTTAATTTCTTCATTAATTGCTCTGCATCGTATACTCGACTGTTGATTGTGTATAGCCTATTTTGCACATCATCAATCATAATAGATGAGTAGAGAGTAAGAGAGAGAGAGAGAGAAAGATCAGAAGGGAGAAGAGATGAAAATAAATATTCTTCGTCTCTTGCTATTAATTTTAAATAATGTGTGTGTGAGACCCGGACATGCATTACATGAAATTTCATATAATGTTTTGGGATTTTTAAGTGTAAATTGTTGATGCTAGCTATGGGGTAAAATTAAGATTATGGGGAACCTGGAAAATAAAGTATGAATTCTAATCGCTATTCCTAAGATTTAATTATGTGTATTGAAAAATAATGAAGGGTGATTAGCTAAAGAAAACAATTTAAGTATAGAATAGGTGGATAGAGGGAACTAAGGGGGGTCAAGGTGTAAATAAGGCATTATGTGGCCACTTGGCATCTCTAGAAGCCTCCTAGTTGATTTTCGATGGAAGATATGAGTTAGTAAGGAGTCGATCTTAAGTAAGATTTTATCAATTCTAATTTTGAAAAACCTCTATTTTATTATCTTTTATTTCACTATTTTCTTTTTCAATATTTTCTATTTCATTATCTTCTATTTATTATCTTTTATTTCGATATTTTCTATTTCAATATTTTTTATTTAATTATTTTCTATTTTATTATCTTTATTTTAATATTTTATATTTCAATATTTTTTATTTCATTATCTTCTATTTCAATATTTTTTATTTCATTATCTTCTATCTTCAACAAGTACAGGCTCGTTTGGTAACGTTTATAGTTTTTGATTTTCTAAAAAACGAAAAACAGAATCAAAAAATGAAAAACATCTTTTTCTCGTTTTTGAAAATCGTCAATTGTTTACAAAACGATGACAGAAAAAAAAACGATTATCAAACGAGTTTTTTTTCTTGTTTTCTCTAAATATCAAAATAAAAACGAAAAACGAAAAACATAAACGTTACAAAACAAGACCGTACTTGTTCATTTTCCAAATATTCATCTAAATCTTTTGTTACATTATATTTTTTACTAGTAACAAATTTATCAAGAGATCTTTTTTGAGATTCTATTAGTTGGTCCATTTTAGTATTTTTTTAAAAAAAAAATTCGTATTCACTTGTTTATCTTCTAGGTGCTATATTATTAATATATTATAACTATATAACAACCAAACAAACACATATAAATGCAAACAAACACAAGTTAAACTATATAACACAACTAAAATTATGAAAGCAAAGACAAAGAATACAAAAAAAATAAAATTATGAAACAATATACCTTAAATGGTCTCAATGTTGGCTTTTAGTTCTAAATCATATCCCTTATGTTGCAATGGAGTCGACGATGGATGGATCATATATCATCTCAAGCTCTCAGATGTTAAAATGAAGACTTGGCTATGGCTTTACACAATTACACTGTAAGAGCACTGAGAGAGAATGAGGGAGGAAGATGGCATCTTGGTTTACTGTTTGCCGAGAGAGAGAGAGAGAGAGAGAGAGTTGAGGCTTGGGCGGTTGGCTTTTGGTTATACCGAGAGAGAGAGAGAGAAAAAAAATGGCTGCCATTGCAATGATTTGTGACCTTTCAACTTTTTTAATTTGATGTACTTTTGAGTTTAATTTTTTTTTACTGTTATTTTTTTTGAATATTTAATAATTGGGTTGGAATATGGGCCTAAATAATTGATAGGGCTTTTAATATTGTAAAAAAAATTTATATGGACTATTATGGTATTTAAAAAATTGGGGCCTTCCTTAAAATGGGGCCTAAAGCCCAGGCATTTTCAAATATACTGTTGGGCCGGCTCTGAGGAGACCTATACTTCTTAATACTTAGCTCTTAAATGTTTTTAGTCATAGGATTACTATGTGAGCATTACGTACTTTGAATAGACTAGCACACATTATGTTTACTCATATTTGATATGAAGTGACTCGTCCAAGTCCCTAGTGTAGGGCACTGAAGAAGGTGTGTGAGTGCTTGTTAGAAAATAAGTACACTGAACATGACCATTGATTAATGTATGATTTTTCATATGGAGTTTTACATACCTATCAATATTAAATGATAAAGTTATAGTTATGTAACTAATCCTTAAAATTAAGACATTGTGGTTGTCTTGTGCATGAACTTCTATATTTTAACTATACAACATATTTGTATACTAACCATATAACTTGGATATGTATTGTTGGACATAGTTAGACATACATGGAGATTTATGAGTGTACAACATAGAATCTATCACCCTTGGTAAATAAAGGGAGAATGTCATATGTGACCTTCTAGGATATGACTCAAGGAATCCTTGGCCAAGGCAGAATAACAAATAGAAAAAGGGTTTCTAATTGATCATTAAGAGTCATAGTCCTAAGATCAAACACATAAGATTGAGTTAGGGGTTTGACAGTAATTTCATACCCTATTAATTTAATTGAGGTATTGTGTGATAGAAAGATTGAATTGCATGTCAAATGTAACTCTCATGAGTTCTTTACCTACTTCGTGCTATCCAAAGGTTGATTATTATATGTTACTAGGTGTTACTCATGATTAGTAGAAATCCGAAGAATGAAATTAATATAAATATATTAATTATTCTTCATAAAGGGAGAATTAGAAGAATTCTAATTCAAGCTAAATTAGAAAGAGTTCTAAATTGAGATGCTACTTGTAGTTAGTATCAAATGCCTACAACCGGGTATGCTTAAACCTATAGGGTCACATACAATATAATTGATTCGAAACTAAAGGATAAAGGAGAGACTACCAATTAAGAGTTAATTGGGGTGAAAACCTAATTAAGAGTTAATTAGGGACTTTGTTATAATTAATAGTTAATAAAGGGGTTATATGTAATTATGAGATAATTACAACTTGACCCAAACTAGGATTAGAGTCTTTAAAGCTCTATAAATATCTTTATATAGGAGAAGAATATCGATGATATAACAACTCTCTTGATAGCACAAGAAGAACCATCCTTTATTCTTTCTCTCTACTAATTTATCAATGGTTAAGGTAGATCTTTCAAGTTTATCAATTCATGTAGATATCAATAGAGGCCAAACGTTTATAAAGCTTGGGGTAAAGATCAAATTCAGATTTGAATATTAAAAGTTTTTGAGAATGCTTGAAGATTGTTAAAGGCACTTTTCAAGAGGTAACTCTTAATATTTTCTATAGATCTAAGGTTTCTCGGTTTGTATTAAACATGAATAAATCTTGGTTTGAGGAATCAAATTTTTATTTTTTTTTAAATTTCGCTGCGTTTATTATATGATTCCTTTCACAGAGGTGACAACATCAGTGTCGGTTCCACCTAAGTCAAAAGGGACTACTCTTGATGTAGAATCTGACCCAAGGTGAGTGAATGTATTGTCTCATACTGGATGAAAATCATTATGTATTCTTCTTATCCCTTATGTATGGATGAATGGATATATGGATACCATTTGGACTATAACTATTGCCAAGAATCTATAGTGATAGGATAAGAGACGAGGACAAATGTGAGTAGT